TCAAAGTATACTTTGACGTCTAACCTGCCTGTCACTGTGGTCTTAGCATATCACAATTTCCGCAGAAACATAGGCTGCATCTAAAGTCTATGGCATTACCGGTCTCACCCGATTCAAATCCAACCTCCCTCTCCCACCCCTCCACCGCGTCAGCGCAGAATTATTATTAGGCCTGAGCCGATATCGCTAAGCAAGACGTTATCCGAGACACATTCAGTCATTCCTCTGCAGAGAAAGTAGCACACCGTTGCATAAGAATATTCGACAAATGAACGAGGGAGTCCTACGAAATTTGCATAATGCGATAGTCAAGCGAACGAGGAGGTAAGAAGGCATAGCCCAGGGGATGCGACAGCCGGGGGGGGGGGAATCTTGGCGCCACCCATGGAATAGCCTAAGAATACACAGTCGGTCGAAAATATATTAAGGGGATTTTAACTCTGACAAGCACGGAGAGCATTTTTTTTTGAGTAGTACATACATTGAATTTCAAAGTAACAGAAATAAAGAAAGAAAACCCCACTTGGTTTACAGCAGTTAATGCCGGTTAAAATACACTCCATATCAATGTTACAGAATTGTTCTCGGTGATGTGATTGAATAAAATACTGTACGGAGTTAAAAAATGATTTTCTTGTTTTTTAAAGGGATTTTATAGTTGAAACATATGTTTCCAGTAGTCCTGTAGTAATTTCCAAAATTTACAGCATTCATTTTGAAAAGAACCACCCCCTCCCACCCCACACCTTACCAAATGTAGTCTCGAAAAGAAGCCCAACTGAAAGATGCCTATATCGAAAAGGAATCCCACAAAAGTCCTAAGAAAAAGAACATGGTTTTATCTAAACTAATTCCTCCATGGTTTTACTGTATTGCGCTAAGCCCCGCCCCTTTAAAGGTCCCACAAACACCATCGTAAACGCTGTCTCTTATACACATCTAGATGTGTATAAGAGACAGGTACATGTAGGAGGGCGTCTTCATAACGCACCAATTGACATTGACACGAAACATCAAATCATTTTGCCAAAAAATCACCATGTGGCGAAATTGATTATCCAGTATTACCATCATCTATCTGGACACTCTGGTCTTGAATATACGCTATCGCTACTTAGACAGTTTTGGCCTGTGCAAGGACAAACTACAAAATCTTGGCGCCACCCCTGGAATAGCCTAAGAATACACAGTCGGTCGAAAATTGATTAAGGGGATTTTAACTCTGACAAGCACGGAGAGCATTTTTTTTTGAGTAGTACATACATTGAATTTCAAAGTAACAGAAATAAAGAAAGAAAACCCCACTTGGTTTACAGCAGTTAATGCCGGTTAAAAATACACTCCATATCAATGTTACAGATTGTTCTCGCTGATGTGATTGAATAAAATACTGTACGGAGTTAAAAAATGATTTTCTTGTTTTTTAAAGGGATTTTATAGTTGAAACATATGTTTCCAGTAGTCCTGTTGTAATTTCCAAAATTTACAGCATTCATTTTGAAAAGAAACACCCTCCTCCCACCCGACACCTTACCAAATGTAGTCTCGAAAAGAAGCCCAACTGAAAGATGCCTATATCGAAAAGGAAGCCCACAAAAGTCCTAAGAAAAAGAACATGGTTTTATCTAAACTAATTCCTCCATAGTTTTACTGTATTGCGCTAAGCCCCGCCCCTTTAAAGGTCCCACAAAAACCATCGTAAACGTATACGGAAAACATGTGCGCTTGTGGGACAACACGTCTGCTTGTGGGACAAACGCGTATTCCTTGGCCTGTTCTGATTTGTAGGTTGTTACGTTTGATTGACACTCCGGAAAGGTACATTTTTTTGTTGATGACACACATCCCCCTATGGTGTAGACCATGGAGGTATTATAGTGTGTAGACTTAGACAACTATACAACTTGTTATCTCCAGGTATAGACCTACACTTTCACAAAGCCGTAGAATTATCCTCGATCAAACCAAATCATCAACATAATTCTTCCCCGACTGAACTCAAGATTACAAAAAAACACACGTGTGACCATTATATTACAGGTAGGCTAAATAGTAGAACCACTATTAGGGTGACACCTTCGGGACCAAAAAATGTCCCCTTACTAGAGGTTCCCTTTATGTTTCCTCTGAAAGTGGTTCGCCGTTGAAAGATATATTTTCCGTTAATTCGGCCAAAAGTGTCCCTTTACTAGGAAGGGATAACCCTAATTGTGTGCCAAGAGGGGCTGTTTCTGAAATTGCTTCTTTTTCACATTAAATTTCCACTCTTCATTGTAGCTAAATCTTAACTTAATTCATTTTTTTATACAGGTCATTGGCATTTAAATATTTCAAATACAGGTCATTGGCATTTAAATATTTCTAATACAGGTCATTGGCATTTAAATATTTTAAATACAGGTCATAGGTCATTTGAATATTTCATTAACCATTTTTGTTTTTATTTTATCCATGGTCTGTACAGAATCACTATGTTACAGCGGCACGCACATACTTTATTGTTTTTGCCATTTTATTAATATTGTGTTATGTTAAAAAGCTCATCCAATATTCAAGTATTTCATAAGTGCATTTTAATTCTTCAACCATCATAATGGGTAGCACCAGTGGGTGGTGGGTAGCACCAGTGGGTGGGCCACCCGGGGAGAGCTGGCACAGCCCCACCCCTCCCCGTCGGAGAGAAAAGGGACAATTCGTCGGGGAGAACAACAAAATGTATAAATTTCTACATAACCGTACTAAAATAGATAGGTCTTGTTTGTGGTTTCACCTAATTTTTGTTATCTTGATTTAAATTAAGATTAGGCCTATTAAATTTCCACTTACAGTACGGTTGCTTTTAAATTATTAATAGTTCATAAATTTTGTCAGCTTTTCGATTGTTTTACAACTTTTCTCTGTAAAGACCATAATAGACGCATATAGAGACGCACAGTGTCAAAAAATACCGACCCGAATACTGAATACGCCCTCTATATACAGTGACCAAGAAATTGAGTTAAACGCCGAGGATGGATGTCACACAAATAATCTCATATCTTTATTAAAAACATGCGAACAAGGACGATCGTATGTCCTTGCATGTAGGTAAATAGATACACTTTTATAAGAAAACATTTTTAATAAGAATATCGAGGCTGAAATTGTTTTAAAAAACAGGAACAAAATAAGGAAAATTGAGGCTAAGCTACAATGTCAAAAAAAGAAAGAAAACCAACAAAAAGCTAGTTAGACGTACTACCCTCTATAGTACAATTATATATACAAAATAATTTTCTATCAAAAGAACATTTTGAGCCTGAAATTGGCAAAAAAGTAAGAACACTATTAAGTCTGGGCAAATTTTTACTGGTTCTTGGCAAGAATTTTCCTTGTTTCGAGAACTTTTTTTTAAGATCGTCAGAGAGGGGCGAGAAAATATAAAAATAAATTTTGTTTTCTTATTCAGCAAAGTTTTGTCAAAACCATCCAGACGGAGGAGAAAATTAATATAAAACTATATTGGTGAATGTAAACAGTGTAGAAATGGTGTTAGATGCTTCAAATTTATATACGGTAGTTAGGAAGAAATATAGGCCTAGCCTACAATCTTAATTTTTGAAAAGAGGCAGCGGCGGGGGTAATAACAATAAGCAAAAATTATTATTTTTTTTTAAATTTCCATTTTTTGTGTCGCCGGCTGTGCTAATTGGCCAAAAATAAAATTTTAAGCATCATTTAGCGGGTTGCAGTTTCGCTAAACAAGTTATAAAAAAAAAACGTCTCGCCAAAATATTAAAAAGTGTAATTATTTAAATTTCAAATAGACTAGGCTGTTCTTATCCGTTGTCGGGTAAGCTAATTGTCATTTATAGTGGCAGGTGCCATTATGAGCCAAAACTAACATGTGTTAATTAATCAAAATTATTCGAAAAAGTCTCGCCTACAGTACTGTAAAGTGTGCTAAAAATATATTAGTTCAAGCTAATGATTCCCACCACCACTGGGCCTACTGTAAGTAGCAAAATTGAAAGTTAAATACACCGGACAGGTTCATACTGTATGTACTGTCATATCATTTGCAAATGTACTGCAGCTGTCTCTTATACACATCTAGATGTGTATAAGAGACAGTATATATACACTGTATATTAGTGTTTGGATATTATAGGCCTAATTCCTATTTATCTTTTAAATTTTTTAGCGAAATAAGGTCCAACTTCGATCGCATCGTCCGTCACGTTTTTAATATGATGATGATGACGATAATGATAATAATAGCAACGATAACAGTAACATAGCAGCTAATAACAATAACAACAATGACAATCATAATTCTCGGTATACTTAGAGGGCCTGAAAATGGCTGGTGAGTACAGCACATTGAAGCCCTTTTTGGAGATTCTACCATATAAACCAAGTCTGTTTTAAATTTATTTTTGTTTCTTTGAAATTCATGTACCGTGTCCAGTGTATGTACTGTAAGTCTATCTCGAAAAGAAGCCTATGCTATATTAGAAAAAAAAATCCATGGTCTTCTGTTCGAGATGGGCTTCTTTTTGCGGCTCATTTTGCAAACTGAATAGGACTGTGAGCTTCAACTCGAGATGGGCTTCTTCTTGAGATTAAGCCATTTAATTGGGTTCCAATTCGAGGTTACGGTAGATAATTTAGTCTAATTTTTATATGATTTTCCAACGCAGTAACAGGAGTTAAACATATTAAAAAGATATAACAATGTTGTATTTATTTTCACTTTTATCTTTTGAAAATTCAAATGATGTAAAAATATAGAAAATAGTATACAAAGTATCAATATTCCGCGCAATGTTTTATTTAAATGTATAGACTGAACAATTTAAGAACAAACTAGATACGCGTTTTGGATACGCTTGAATATAGAACATGAAAGATAGTCCCGACGTCCTTGCAACGTGATTCATGATTGGTCATTGAGACGACATCAAAGTGAATTGGTTTCTTTCGGGAGTTTCTATTGGTCCATTGCTTACGCCTACTCTGGTAATGCAATCATTTCCTAAGCTAACGAGCACACAGCAGGCCTGTCGATGGTTTTCTATACAAAGGGTAAACGGGTAGGCCTAGGGGATATCAAGTGGAAATTACGCGATTTTTGAAGGAAAATATAGGAGTTGTTCGAATTTAGGGTGTATTCATCATGTCCATGACTACACGGAGAGCTACAGAACGTCCAGTTCGACGATCTAGTCGTTTAAATAAGGGGAAAAATACTGGTTCTTTGTCAGGAAGTAGCACAACCTCAACCACAGCCACAGCAGCAGGTCAGCACTCTTTGTTTAGCACAATGCACTGTCTCAATGTACCGTACTTAGCTGTCTCAGTGTTGTCCATTGTGCCTAGCTACTAAGCATATTCATTTCGTAAAGCCTACAAAAACGATGGTTTTATTTCATTGTTTTTAAAGCTTCTTTCTGCCTAAATTGACAATATATTGGTAATGGAATATGACTGAAACAAGCCTGGCATATACATAGGCTAGGCAGGCATAATATAGCCTATGAATTAAAAAAACGATGTTAATGTTGTTTGTCATTTTAATTTTCGAAGTGTGTAGGCCTAGAGGCTAGGGCCTAAGTCCTACAGTAGGTAGCCAAGGTGGTGGCTAAATGCTAGGCCTAGAGGCCTAGACTGAAGTAGGGTTTAAATCCACCACCAACACCAACCTAAGTGATAAATAGGCCTAGCCTAGTATTCATCTTCTGACTTAAAAAATAGGATTGGTTTTGTAAATGCAAGCCTAACTACTACTCACCACTGTAGTATCACTGATCAGTCTTTAGAGTAAAAACCAAAACCAATTTGATCTGAAACCTCTTGACAACTCGGCACACACAGCACACAACTTGGAAAAAAGTAAATGAAGACTGTTTTTAGGCCTAGGCCCTCGTTCTAGCCTAGGCATAGTTATTTGTGAAGACTGTGGTGTTGTGATGTAAATCAGTCAGTTTCATATTTACAGTATCAAGAAATATAATGGCTGAATAAAAATTAAAAATATGTTCATTTTGTTCATTTATAGTGGCAGGTGCCATTATGAGCCAAAACTAACATGTGTTAATTAATCAAAATTATTCGAAAAAGTCTCGCCTACAGTACTGTAAAGTGTGCTAAAAATATATTAGTTCAAGCTAATGATTCCCACCACCACTGGGCCTACTGTAAGTAGCAAAATTGAAAGTTAAATACACCGGACAGGTTCATACTGTATGTACTGTCATATCATTTGCAAATGTACTGCAGAGCCCTTTTGTCCTGAGGTCCCATGAATTTATGTTTGCATACTTGTACTAATGTATGTGAAAAGCAGTTGCTGCACTATTGGTTGATGCATACAATTAATGGCTGGACTGAATGAAATTATACCAATAGTTTTGGTTGCGGTCCAGGCCAAGTTTAATATACTAAATAGGATTCCGATAGGAATTATCAAGCTAGAACAATGCTTTGGTTCTGAATTGACTATAATCTACATCCTTTTCAATTTATACCTTAATTTTGATATCGATTGAATCAAGGCAATTCAACAGTGACGCACATCTCCACTCTCGAACATAGCACGTCCGTACAGTCCTTTGATCTTTACTGTGGCATCGACCATCCGATACTAGTTGCGAGTACAGCCGTCATATGTTTTATGGTGTTAGTTACTATTTTAATAATTTTGGGTATTCGCAATGCCTGTTACAATGTTTACATCTGATTTCTTTTGACCACGAGCTTGTTAAATGCTTCTATAAACTGCAATTTGATTTGTGAAAATTGACTAAGAAAATGAAAAGTTATAGCAATTGAAAATTTCATGTTCTTATGTAACATTAAACTGTCATTTTGACAATGTTGGACTAAGGTGCACAAAACAAACTTTTGAGTAGATACAGAAAATTTATTAATTTTTTCTGCGAAGTGAGTCTCATGACTGGGTAATTCGTCACACGCTGATGGTTAAATGGTCTGGTTGCTATGGTTTTTGTGACATTCAGCGTGTAGCGACGCACGGCGCCTAGAATGTCGATGCCAGAGTTACAACCTTTGATGTCCCGAGATGTGCATCCTTCTGTTGAATTGCCTTGATTGAATAAACCCTGCTTTCAAGAAAGAGGAGCACCAAACATTTTTAGTACTGCTCTAAAAAAGCAGATTATTGGTGAGTTTTATTCTTTATTGACATGACACAGCGTTATTGCATCCAGAGTATTATAACTTGTCTTGCCTTGGTATCACTATCGGAACACTATTAAGCTGGCCACTAACTGTGTCCTACTGTATGACCTTTGTATGACGAATCCACCTTCGCTCCCTTTGAGCATCTCGATGAAGTGACGCCATCTGCTGATTGTGGGTGACAGTCTAAAGGGGTCGTCATTAAAAACCATTCATTGCTCACACGTCGTGGCATTGAACTCTTTATCGAATGTAGAATCGCCAGGCTTTAAACAAACAATTTTTCACGAATTAAAGCATTCCAACAAGCTAGATAGGCCTATTCAGTACAACACATGGTAGACCTACTTTTTAACACTGTAATCTTGAATAAGCGCTTGTTTCAATGAAGCATTTTTACAAAGAAATTAAATACTGGAAAAACAAGTGTGCCACCAGCAACTTTAGAATTGAGCAATTATACTGTAGACTTTAGCCTGGTTCTCATGAGAGGCCTACTGTAGTATCCGGATCGGGTGCTAACAGTTAGCACCTGCATGAGAACGCCAATCACACGTACGCGTTTACAATTTCCAGTTTCTTATTGGCCAATGATTTAATCATCATATTTTTGGTATCCGGATCGGGATTTTCTCGTATGGACGCACGACAGCTAATGGTTAGCAGGATCCGGATCCTACTAACCGTTAGCAGCCGTGTGAGAACATAGCCTATACCTATGTAGCAGTGTGCAAGGCTTTATGTGTATTGCTTGAATATTGTGTAAAAGATAGTAGAATTACAATACTGTTGTTGATGGATAATATTAATATTGGTGATTTCCACTCTGCTCTGTTTAAATAGTTAAAAGTATAATATGAATTTAATGCAAAAATAATAATAAAACAAATTCACTGCAGAAAAAATTAAAACTATAAAAATCAATACTGACTGTTACAAAATTCTGCACACAGACTTTCTAGTTGCCTTTTCACATAGAAACTTACAGTAACCTAGCATTTTGCCTTTTGTTTTGTTAATGATTTAATTTACCTCTTATTTTTTACTGCTTGCCAAGTGTGAACTTGCATCCAATCCACCTTCATGTTTTAAGTCTGCCAAAGTTATTAATCATAAATTATATTTAAATTATTAATTTTATGAATAAAACTAAGTACAATTTAAAGAGACAAATTGAATTGTCTGAAAAATCATCGATTGGAAAGGGAAAGTACTGTATGATGGGAAACTCAATGACTCATTCCATAGAGGATTTAAATCAACAAAAAACGTTCAGCAGCACATGTATACATCATCATTTCACCACTTCTGTTCAGAAGTTCCTGTTTCAGAAGTCTTTAAAGCAACAAGACTTCACTGACTGCAGTTGCATGATGGCATGCTTAACTTAGGATGTTGATATTTTAGTTTTACTATAGTTTAAGGTTTAGTGTTACTACTATTTTAGTACTAGTACTGTAGCTTTCACCTTTCTGTACTAAAAAAAAAGTAAAAGGTAAAGGTAGGAGAATAATCAATATTACTTGCAGCATCATTGTGCTGAATTGCATATGGGCATACAAGGCAGATGTATACATTGGACCTCCATTTTTAAGTCTTTATCCAAGAACCCTGGATGAGGAGCGGCTGGAACAAGCGCCGATGTTAAGGCTGTGCAGTAGTTAGTTGGCGGCACCCCTGCCTTACTGCTCTGCGACTAGACTCGCCCTAACTGACATTGTCTATACTCAAACAGCATAAGAAAGTGCTGCATAAATTCTGTACAGGTATGACGGCTTTGCTTTAAAGTACAGTGCATTATACTGTACTTTAAAAGGTGTCATACAAGAAGAAATTCCAGTTCAAATATTAATTAAGACTTCAACTTATGGCATGGCACTTACAGTAAGCATACATAAATTATGTATTAACAGTATATTATTGCATGTTACCTTTAGCAAAGAACTTTAAAGTATACACTGGTTTCATTCTAAAAAATAATAGAAATTTAAATCCAAATTTGTAAGTAAGTTATTAAGTTATGATTAAAAACTTGAATAAAAAAAAAAATCCCTTCAACTGAGAGTAGGGTCTGTGGTTAATACTTTTTATGTATTCTATTGCATACCCTTCTGGTAATTAATTAAAAGATTTTAAAAAAATTTCTGAAAATCAGCAATAGACCTTTTTTGAAGTGTTTGGAAGTTATTAAAGTACAGTACTGTATGCCTACTTGATCTTTTTATTTGAGCTATACCGTAGGTATATTTACTGATATTGACTTTTTGTCTTTGTTAATATAATATGAATGATCCACTGCACAGGCCACGTCAAGTTGCATTTTCTATGGTCTCATTTTCAAATGCACAAAACCGTCGCACGTTGAAAAATCTTCTGATTAATAAAGTGACTGACACCATCATTCACTGAGGGTGTACATAACTGTAGACTGTACAGTAAGCTACTGTACAGTATACAGATCACGGAAGCTGCATTTTGTGACGACTGTTGTTGCCCACTCCCAACAAAATGTTGTTTTTTTTGTTGCTGTTGCATGCTACTGTGATGCTAGGTGTTTAACTTGTAGAGACCTTTAAGATCCATTGATATTAGTTAGCTACTGTACATACTGATTGGAATTATATCAATTATCATATACCTATATTGATAGTAATAAATTTCATGCAAGTATAAGAAATAACAGATTTAATTATACGAAGTCACTATCACAAAACGAAGAAAAATATCTTTTAAAACTATTCAAACTCAGTATTCAGTGGACGTCTCTTGGGGAGCGATACTTTCCTTTGGTCCTAAGGTGTCTCCTTTAAAACTATGAGTAGTCAGCCCATAGAATGCATCTTGTGCACTGTGCCTGAATAAGCAATACAACGCAGGCCGTTGTGAAGGGCAATTCCATAATTTTTGCCGTGTGGCTGAATACCGAACAATACATGGGCAGGCCATTTAATTTTTTTCTTTTATGCTCGGTAAAAATTTGATTTTCCTTGACCGTGTCCTTTGACCTTTTCTTCCCAAAATTGACATCTCTTTCTTTGAATAGAGGTTTCTGCTGTAATACTAGCTTGAATTGGCTGTATGACTAATCTTCCTATTCTTGAATACGTAATACGTATGTACTCATTCCACTAAGTTTTATGATGATCCATTTAGATTTTGCACAATCTTTCTAAAAGCTGGGTACTCACTGCGGCCGACGCGATTCTGTTGAGAAAGTGATGCCACAACGTGCGTGCAAACTGATCATTTTAATGACGCTCTGTTCAGACTGCCACTCAATCAGCAGACAGCGTTGCGTCGCCTGGCGAGCACATGGAATGAAGTTGGATTTATCGTACAACCGTTGTAAAAGGCAGTGATGCCCGGGTTTATTAGGGCGCTTTTGATTTGCGACGACCTAAGACCTACTGTAGGACCTAGTGACGTCAAATTGAGTCAATGTGCGCATGCGGGGACTTTGGGACGTTGCTTCCCACTCGAATTTTCGACTCAGTTTTGGGTCTAGGCGAAGACCGACGATTTGACCTCGGTGGTCTTTGCATAGCCTAAAACAATTTGTTTTCCCTGCTTTATGAAAGATACTTATATTTAGTGAATAGAAGTGGATAATTGCTTGTAAAAGCCAGTCATTGGTAGGAAATCCTGGAAGTAAAGTCGCAACCTAAAGAAAGAATCGATCTTTCTCGGCCCAGTAGCACGTCGGTGGATTTTTCCGCTTGTTGATTAAACTTTGACCCAGACATGCGCAGTTTAATTTTATTAAATAATAGGTCGTCATGAAAATCGATAAGGCTAATTTGGTAGGTGGACCCGTCATTCTGCGGACATATGCAAATGAGACAAGATATCATTTGCATAAGTCCTAGGTCGTTGCAAATGGAAAGCTCCCTATTTACAGACAGAAAGCGGTGCATGTATACAGTAACCTCCTTTGGTGGAGGTAATAATAGTTTCTGCTGTACATACTAGCTTTAATTGGCTACAGCATGACTAGTCTTATTAGTGTCTTCCTATTCTTGGAAATTTCCATTTGTTGCCAATTTTCCCAGTGTTGCTTTTGAAAGAAACTCAACCTTGCCAAAAACTTGCTACTGTACTCAGAATTTTTTGGGGGGATTTTTATTGTAATACCAAATGGAGTATATGTACTGTACAGTACTGTTTGGTTTTGCTGGCTATACTGTAATCTTAAACATAATAATTACTCTATAAATAATAGAATGTGTCATTATCTGGACCTCTCTGCCATTTAAAATAAAACTAGCCTCTACAATTTTAATTGTTATTGTCATTATCAATCATTAGTCTAATGTGGGTCATCTATTTTAATTTTACTCTGTTTCTAAGGAAATATAAATTTGTAAAATTTAAACTTAATTTGGGTTTTAAATGCCATTATTTTCTATACGTTTATTGTAATCAAGTGTACTCTAGATGAGAATGAATAGATGAAAAATCTGTTTACCTGACATAATATTAATAAAAAAAAAAGGAGACAGTAGATAAGGTACTGTACAGTAGATCAACAGAACTGTTCTACAAAATACACAACAGATGGGATTCTTGCATTTAATGAGAAATATATTTAAACCGAATTATAATATAATTTATAACCTTGTAGGGGCTTTTTGTGTTCCACCTTTTCCATGAATCAAATAAATTGATTATATTTATAGAACTCAAACAATTTCTTCTGGTTTCTGGATTATGATCATGGAAATAATCCAAACAACGTTACAAATACTGTAGGTATAGAGGCCTATATTATTGGTTTACTTACAGGAATGTTTCCATGTTTATATTATTAATACAATTTGAAGATGAATTATGAATAAAATTTGATATAATATTGAATCGCAATTGGCTTAATACAGCTTTGTCTAAACAATCAAATTTTATTTGACAAAAATACTGTACAGTATGTGCATGCCTGAATTTGGTCATCATGATGACATCACATCATGACCATATACAGTAGGTACATCATGCCAGTTTTTTTGTCAAAAAAATGTGATAATGTGGACAGAGCTATTACACTTTTTGGCATTTTTCATGTTTGTCTCTCACTGCCTATCATGTCAAACTTTGTGAAAACCCCTATGAGGTATATTAAGCCAATAAAAAAAAGAATGTTGAATGGGAAGTGCAGAGTTAAAGCCCATTATTAAAAATTATGTAGGCCTACAGTACAGTGTAGTCTGATAAATTACAACCTCAATGAACATTTTCATAACATCTCTGGGGTTGGTATTGGGAATGAATGAGTGAGCAATGTGGGTCCATAATCATAATGTAGTGGTATTACTCAAATTACACTGAAAATGGACTTTGGGTTCATGTTTACAGCTGTGGTAAGAGAAAAAAATAACTACTGTATTGCACTTGAAAGCTATCTCTTTTCATCCATTTTTATTAATAAAAATAAAAACACTTTTTTTTTTTTTTTTTATAAATGAGAGTTGAACCCACTACTCTGTTCATTTCAGAAGTGTATTTTTAATTTAGCTATACAGTAGGTAGAGATATTTAGTCCATGATTGAAATTATGATTAGTACAGATCTAGTAAAAAAAAAAAGAATTGAACTGTAATTTAAAATAATAGAATACTTTATTTCTGCCTTTTTATTACCTTTTGAGGTTTTTGCAATTAGTTACTTGAAAGTAGTAGAAATGTATTGTGCAGTACAATACATGTACAGTAAGTAGTTTGATGGTTGAAGATGCTTGCTTGCCTTCCAATCCCATGGTCTTAAGTTCAATTCTTGTGCCAGCACAGGATTTTTCCTACTCCCACCGATCTCCACTCTCTAGCCCCGTAATGAGACACGTGTGTTGTTCATAAATTATCAAATTATTTCATTTATTTAAAAATCCCCCAGAATGACAGCCTACTGTACCTACTAGGATATGCTGGAAGGCTATGGTTTAAAATAAAGAGCATCAATGATCAATTAAAGAACATTTATCTTTTTCAGGACCGTCATCTGCATCTAGGCCAAGGAATTGTATATCAGTATCTGAACATAGAAATCAACCGTACAGTCTGCGAAGGAAGTCATCTACATCAAGCGTAGAATTAGAGAAAGTAAGTGGATGTGTATGGTAACTGTATGATTTAGTTCCTTGAAAGGGTGTCAGAGATAAATATAAATCTTCAAATTACATTTCCAGGCCACAGAGAACATTGAAAACCACTTTCTTATTGTAACAAGTATACACTACCAAAATTCTATTTGAACCTGTCAGATTTCTTGTTGGAGTTAGGCCCAATAAAAAAAGTTATTATTTTATTACTTTCACGCGCATGTCTTCTACGGTACTGACAATTTTTTATTTTTTTTATTTTTATAACATTTTTTTTTTTTTGGAAATTTTTTCTTTCAATAATCTTTTTTAAATAGTAGATATTGTTTGCTATTATCTTAATCATGTTTTACTCTGAATATCAATGCACCAGCAAACAACACAAAGGTGATATTTGGCTTTAGCAAAATAAGAAAAAAAGAAACTCCTTCACTTCCCATCACTTTTCCGCTCTACATAGTATTTTCTCTATCAACATCAGAACCTAAACTTTAAATAGGTTGATACTCTACCAAATGTGCTATGAATTAAAAAGGCCATAATAATTAAACATTAATAATACATATAAAAATGAAGGATTGCAACTCTTTAATACCAGCCTACTGTAGGTCAGTTATGGATCACAGAATTGCAAAGCAGATAAATTAGTAATATTAAAAGTGAAGCACATTACCATAAAAAAAAAACCAAAAAAAAAAAAACAACAAATGAACTAGACTAAATTCCCAATTTTGAAATATTGTGAAAATATTAACATTCTTTTAAATGCCAAATAAATTTAATTGTCAGTTTCATGTCCAAGATTTGAAATTTTTTTGTTGGTGAGGGTGTTTAGTATTTCCTATCCTATATAGTGGTAAATAGGCTGATGAATAATAAAAATTGTTTGATAATCAAATGAGTCTTTGTATGTATTCTGGCATTATGTTTTCTACCACTTCTTAGGCTTTGGCAACAATCTTTCAGGTTACCATTATTTTTATGTTCCATGAAAAAATGATTGCTTGAAAAATAGCAACAGTATTTTTTTTTGTGATACTCCAAAATTTGATAAGGATGGGGACATGAAACTAGAAATTATATTTATATGGCCTGTAAACTTAATTATATTGTAGCAACACATACTGTAACAGTTGTATTGGGTCTCTTTTTAGAACAAGCTAATGGTTCTGCATTCATGGTACTAAAGTGCTAAAAGTGTTTGTCTGTTAATCTAACAACACACTAATAAACAATGGGTATCCCTGGTCTGGCCATTGTCCATCATTGTGCTATCTTTTGTTATTCTGAGTTGTAATCTTTGAGTTTTAGTGTTTTGGTTATGTAACATTGGTAGATTTTTGAGTCAGGAAATGTGTTAACTGATGATATGAAAGTTCATATCTGAAGAGGTAGGAAGACTGTCCATCAGTTTATAATAATAATAATTTCTTCTTTTTATATCAGTTTTTTAAAACCATGAGATAACTATGCTATAAGCTTGATGCACCTTATTAACACGTTGACTGCCAGACCCTTTTTTAAGTTTCCTTTACGTGTACCAAAACAAGTTTACAGTACAAACATACTTTTTAAAAATTTTATCTGCAGTAGTCATGATCAAAATGATGTGTTTATTAAATTGGCGGGAAAATATTAGGTGACGAGTAAACTCGTCGATGGCACTGTGACAGTACTTTTTATTGACTCTGCGAGTTATCTTGTCCGTTTTTTGCATCTGTTGGTGTATGATCAAAGATTGCCCCACTTGTGCCGCTTGAGTGTACTACCAGCAACATAACACAATAAACATACATACGTCATTTGTATGTTGCCGTCTAGGTGTATCTTCCCTGAACTACCAGCCGTTGAGTCTGTGGTTCTAAAATGTATAACAAAGAAGTAAAAAACGCTAGAATGTTACCCCGATTTTGACAAGTATACTCGTCACTCAGCAACACCCTGCGAGACAAGTATACCCGTTGCTGACAGCCAACGTGTTAATACAATGGGTCTATAATGTACAGTACATTAACACCAAATACAAATTTTTGAATCAGAAGACCTACTGAACCGATCAGAAAATTGAATCAGTGTGTAAAAAGGGACGTTGGCGTTCAGTCCATTAGAAACACAGTCCTAATTTTGGTTTGGATTCAATTTGAATGCAGCTTTTTTTTTGGCATATATATATACCAGTTTTATACAAGACTTAAAAATTATTTATTTCATTTTTTTTTTAATAGTATTTGGTATTATCAACCTCACTATGAAGACAATGAAAAACCTTAACTTTAACGTTAGTACCCATCATGTGACATGATTGCTCCTCCCCTTTTGTAGACAAATCGAAATACGTATGCGAAAACATGTAACTAACATATGTCAAGCACGTAAAATCCTGAAATTAGTGTACTCCGCAACGTAAGATAAATAAATTATGACGTCATCCATTGACGTTAATTTTAACGCCGCGCAGCGAAAACTGCCTACTAACTACTAACATGGTATTTTGGTTTATCATGCAGCATTAGTGTGTTTTATGATGAAAGTAAAACCAATCAGTAAGTTGTGGCTCAAAAAAGAATAAAGAGGAAAACATTAATAGGTCATTTAACTAGTATGAGGTTTTTTTTTTTTTGATACCCTTATAACTAAAATTCTGAATAACAGTCTTGAAATTTCCAGAGGCCTAATATAGATTAAATAATGGAAAAAAATTGTTTAAAAGATGGAAAGTGTAAATTAAAGCCTTTAGTGACAGCGACAGTCTAGCTAGCAACCCCAAACAAGAGGGACAGGTACTTATCAAGACACCAAAGCCTTTCAGTGCTCCCTAATCTCTAACAGTAGGCTCAGCCTGTGGAGCCTCAATTGTTTGCCTAATCTGTTCTTTTTTCTCAGAACCCTGGCTTACTGTTTGTATTAGTGCAGTACTGTAATGTGTTATGTGCTCTGGTATTGTTAAACTGCACAGTTTTACAATAACGCTTGGTGTTTTCTGTGAAATAATAGGTAGTTTTTGCTGCACGACGTTAACCTAAAATTTAACGTTAGTACCCAACATGCAGTGTGATAGCTCTGCCCCTTTTGTAAACAAATCGAAATACGCATGCGCAAACCCATACAGTAATTAACGTACGTCGAGCACGTCAAATCCTGAAATTAACGTACTCCGCAATGCAAGATGAATAAATTATGATGTCATCGGTTAACGTTAAGGTTAACGTCGTGCGGCAAAAACTGTCTAATGGTAGTAATCCATTTACCCCTATGTACTGTACTGTACATCTCTTCGGGAAAAAAAATATTGGGGAGTGTTTCCCTGTATACTGCCAATCCACCTCTAGAAAAAGACCCCACTGGAAATGTGTGATGCCTTTGGACTTAAAAGGGAATTAGAAAGATATTTTTTTCTAGAGGGGATTTTTGATACAGTGCATGTCACCATGATCTTATGTTAGAGTATCTTAGCTTACACTGATGTCACGCTGCTAAAGGGGCAACATTATAATAGCCTTCATACAGTAAACTTCATAAAAAAATTGCCAAAACTAAAATGAACTTACAGTTGATTCTATTACTATTGACATCAAAAATCTCCTCTAGGAAAAAAATAACTCATCTTTCTAGTTCCTTTTTAAAAGTGGGTTGTCTTCGGTGTGTTGCACACCAAATATAGATAGTCATAATATTCCAACCAAACAACCAAATAAGATCAATTTTAATTGAAACACAAATTAACCATACATTTACTGATTTTTAGATCTTGTGTTTAAAAAAAAAAACATCCTTTAAGTGATTAAGTAGCCAACTTAAAACTGCAAAGGGTAGGGGGTCTAGAAAATGGTATAATTTTAATTTTCAATTTAAAGTTAGTGCCGTAGAACCTCGAATAGAAGGACAATTGGCCTAATCTAAAGAAGAATCCTAACTAGAATTTAAGTCCCTCTTAGTTTGCAAAAGTAGCCTCGAAGAGAAGCCCATCTCAGAAAGAAGCTCATCTTGGAAAGAAGCCTATCCAAAGTTTGCGAAAAAACAAGCCCAGGGCTTCTATTTGAAGTTTTATGGTATTATCAAACCCTGCAATTCAAATTTACCATAATTTTATTTACACAAGTTTTCCCATGTGTTGTACCATGGTTGTACATTATGTTTACTGTATAGCCCATATAGTACAAGCACAGCTGCAGGTAGCTAATAGGATATTGCATCGCAATTACATCACTGATATGCCTCAGAAGATTATAGAGGTTAAAGGTTATTCTAGTGATTTTCTTACAGGAAGTTGTGGGCTTTCATACTAGAATAGGATGTCTGATGTACTGTAAAGTGTATTGGCTGTCAATTGTTCTTTCAATTTTTTCCTATTTCATATTAAAAAAAAAAAAAAATTCTTTTAAGTACCGTATTCTTGAGTATAGGCCTTGCGCAAGTCCTACTTGGTACTTACATAGGCTGACTTTAGGGAGCCTACAGTGAAATCTCAAAATTACGAACTTTCCAAAAATCTACACTCTTTATTTTACAAACTTTGTGGCGATAACGTCAGTACAGAAAATTATAGACAATCAACTGTCAAAACATTTAAAATTGTTTGCTCAAAAATAATATTTATTTATTTAAATCAAAAAATTAAGAAAAATGTTTTAAAATCAATAAATAAAAAATAAACAATAAAGCTTTTTTATAGCAAACGTCACAAGGGCAATGGTATAATGCCGTAGTATCACCAATCACCATGGTACAATGGCACTTCAAGGTACTGTATATCGTAGTATGTAAGGAGAACGCTGTCCCCCGATTTTCATCTCAGTTTCATGTCGCGATTGCTACTGAATGAGACAGAAAAAGAGAGAGCGAGAGCCTAGCTTAGTTGACTAACTGGTCGTAGCCACCGTGGCGATCTCAGGTCCCTAGCTCAATTCTATCCGCTGCCCTCATTGTGTTATGTGAAGGGCTAAAATGTATGAAAAAGCACACCTTCTTTCGGACGATCAACATTATTGGTCCTATGTGCATTATCGCCCGTGAGCAGGTTAGAGAAATGCAGTACACTCTTAATAGTGGTTTGTCTCCCTGGTGTACTGCCCCGTCACCCTCAGAAGACCCCACTGGAAAATTAATCTTAGGACTTTCATGGGTTCCTTGGTGTTTACATCAAATAAATCCAATCCAAACCAATTTTATAGTAGTCGCATATTATGCTGGTGGGTCTTGTGATACTACTGTTGTGTACAGTACTAGCATGTATTGTTTTTGTAAACCGCGTCTGTTTTATTTTGTATTTTTATAGGTTTGAATTTAGAATTGCATTTTGGCTGGCAATAAATTTGTTTTTAAATTCAAGAATATAATTAAAAAACTAGAAACAGGTGTTGTTTCCCTTTGAAAATGAAAATGAAGTAGATGAGAGTTGGTGACTATATGTGCGTGCGAAAAGAGAGCTGCATTATAAAGCTAATTGTATTGGCTTTATTTGCACAGGCTTTGTGGTTATAAGAGTATATTGAATAGAGATAAATTAGAGTGTGGATAAAAGCCCTGGTTGGTGTTAAAAATTCAGATTCTTGAAAACACATGTTGAGACCCACATTATTACTGACTAAAATTGATCAAACTGTAGAATATAAAAATGGCAACAAGTTTGATAGGAAATGCCCAACTTACTGGTTATTATTGAGCATTAAAAGATTTATGTTGTTTGCCTACAGTAATATGATTTGTGTTGTTTGCCTTCCAATTTTAAACAACATGATTTTAAAAACACAAACATATTAAAGAAGACATAACATTTTGTAAACCCTCATATATTCTATGAAAACATTTATTACAGTACCTGTATATTTTTGTGTTGTAATTTTCAATTAAAAACTAATAATTTATTAATATTATTATAAATTATATTTTGAAAGCATAATATTCAAATGATATTTTTTAAATTACTGCTACTGTTCATTGTTGGAATATGATATTTGTGTGAAAGTTAAATACTTTTTAAGTTGTAAAAGAACTATAAAATTATATTCCTTTTTTCTGTGCCTTACTTTTCTTGGTTCTTTAATTTCATGGTTCCATGCTGTTGTTACTATACAGTACAGGCTACCCATGTGAATATTGTTGAATGAATAAATGAATGAATAAAATTAATTGTTTATTCTTTGACTTGAGAGAGAGAGAAATGAATACCAGCATTCTGTTTGTCCCAGTACTGTGTGATGTTAATGTAAACTGTAACCTAGCAAAGCCCCAGGCTACAATTGACAAGACAATGCACTTGAATCATCAGTTGAAGGCCAATAGATCTTAAAATGTCTGGTCATTTCAAACCTTCATTAGCATGTTGACTGCCATGGAGAATTCTTTACCACTTACCAATCAAGTAAATGATCTCATAAGACTTTTATGCCAGACAGATAGAGACACAAACAAATATCCTCCAAAACCTTCTAGTGAAGTGGTTATTGTTAGTGATAGGATACAGTACTATGTTGTCTATGACATTATACTTAAATTCAGTTAATGTAGACATTATTAATTATTCAATATGCCAAGTAAAAGGAATTTATTGTTGTTTGTCCTTTTTTTTTTCCTGCTAGCTTTTTTAAAAATATACATTAATTAAGAGTTTAAGAACCGTCACTTTATTCATTAAATATGAAGTTTCTTGCGTCAGAGCAGTAGTATTACAAAAAATAAACAAAACCTTTCTAAAACAAAAAAAAGAAAGAAAGAAAACAAGTCTTGCATGCCATTTTACTGTAATATTTCATATGACTTGCGGATTTTAGCATTCTGTGTGGGCATTGTCTTTTTGGGCAGTTGTTAAGTCGGAAACACACTGCGTACGTCAACTGATGGTCAGCTAACCGTTGGCCCATAAATCCACTTTCGCACACTGTTTAAAAGCACTTGATGATACGAAGTTGTCTGATGATTCTGACAGTCTAAGCCGATCGTTGTTGAAAGCGAAAACTATTTGTCCCGCATGCTTTGCTGCATTGTGTTTGTGCTGGTGGCCGTTGCCAGCATGTGCGCGGCAGTATGAAAGCATCTGATTTGGACGACAACGTAACGCTGGAATGAATTTACTATTCATAACCGTCCTATATTCTCTGCACAACGTACAGTATATGGGCAGAAGTGCATCCTAAAATCCAGGTGAAAATAAGACCTCTTAGTGACGTCATTACATTATGTCCTACAGTAATGTTGTACAATTGAAGGCTCCCTGTTTTATCAGCATAATAGTCAGTCAACTGTGGATTTACAGTACAAGGAACTAATTGCAGCAGAAATACTTTTTGTGGAATCTATTCTAGAAATACAGACACAAAAAATACTAAAATTCCGAAAAAAATCCAATCAGTGAAAAATTGTTAATTTTAAAGGTATCAAATGAGCTAAGAGCCAACGGTTTATTGTGTGACATCACTGAACTGCAGCGGTGAAATATATAAAATCCTGTTATTGCTAGCAAAAATAAAAAAATATAGACGGCCATGTGCGAATGCTGTTAAATCAAATCAGACACGTTGAGTTGTCTCCCTGCATTAAGTTTTTTTTTTTTCAAATAGGTTTATTATATAGTGGTCTAATTATACCATTGGGATACTGCAAAAATTATTTCTGTTGCTATTAGTTCTGGGTTCATAATTTTGTCACAGATTGACTGGACTGTAACAACTTGTTCTTAAGAACTTGACAACCATAAAAATTATTTCTTTTTTTTTGTGGAAGTTGAATTTATGATACTGATATATTTGCTGTATGTGATTGCCATTATTAAATCATTTCATCTGTTGACCTGATTTTATCTCATTCAAGGAAAGACAACACCCAAATTGATTTAACCTACTTGATTTTTATCTCATTGAATGTAATTCCGTCACACAGTAAAACATAAAACCTAAGAACATGTCAAAATGAACATGTGTACAGAATATCAAGCGTGTTTCTGAGTTGATTTGCCGTAATTAATAAATATATGCCTAGGCCTGCTGTTTAACAATCGTTATACCATATATACTCGCGTATAAGACGACTCCCAAGTTTGAGAAGATTTTTTCAAATTTAAATTTCAAAGTCAAATTTTATCTATCTAACAATTTTTCAGTGTCGTTTTGGATTCGACTACAGTATACAGGTTCAACTGTATTTAATTGCGTTCAATTCATACTAACATTTATTTGCTTCATTGCTTTAGTAAATTTGCATGTTACAAATGATCCGCACATAAGGCGAACATAATTTTAAGAATCTAAAATTTGTGTATCCTGCATAAACGATGGCCCCCTGCAAGTATACAGAAAAAGCTGGACACACATTGCACTATGGTCATCCATGCAATTTCAAATAAACACAACAATGAGTGTGCAACGGATCATTCTCAGGGGCGGATCCAGAGATGTCCAAAAGTGGGGGGGGGGGGCAGAAATATGTCCAAAAGTGGGGGGGGGGGCAGAAATTTGGCCGATCGAGACAACGTCTTAGGGGTTCCGGGGGCATGCCCCCGCGAAATTTTTGTGTTCTTGACGCCCGAAAATAACAGTTGTGGGCTATCACTTTTTTCTTTTTCTTTCTTTTTTTCTTTTTTTTTTCTTTTTTCACCTCCTAGGGGGGGGGGGGGAGAGAGCCGGGGCCGGGCCGGCCAACCCCCCCCTAAATCCGCCACTGATTCTTATTGACGAACCACTTAGGTTGTCAACCTAACAATCGTCAAAATATGTTTCAAAATAATATTGGACGAAGTGAGAAATTTAATGTAATCTATCTGCTTCAAAATGCTCTCCTCTTAAGGCCAACTACTCAGAGAGCGTTGTATAACACAGCCTGAGGCGATTCATCGACGGGGACAGTCTTTAGCCGTCGTGAGAAATATTAAACATGTTTAATATTGTATGACACGACTGCCCCCAACGCAAACTATTGAATCTGCATTTAACTTACATAGACCCGGCACAACAATAAATTGCGTCGGACTGCATTGTACAACGATGTCTGAGTTGGCCTTTAAGTATCAACTGAATGCACATAGATAAAATGAATTACTTTCAGTGGTGTATCATGGTCAAGTAGTTAAAAATCACATAAAATCACCTTCTTTCGTGCCTCTCAACTGATCATTGAGCCCCCCCCTCCACTTCACCTTCACGCCTCCCTTCCCCATCAGCCTTCTAATTCTAGGGTCCCAGCAGGATTTTTTTCTCGCAACTAAAAACAATTCCACTCCCTAGGGTACATTGAAAGTGGGTCACCCTATAAATATGCTTTAAGCAATAAAAATATTTTCTCAAATTAAAATTGAAAGCAAATAAATTTTAACTTAATACAAAGTAAGCTATTCAAATGTTAATGTATTAATAACAAAAACTATTTCCAAAGAATAATGAATTAAATATTTAATAACCTGATGCATTGTTTTGTTATTACAGTCGTGTGCTCCAGTCAACCTCCAAACAAGGTCAAAACGTTCCAGATTAAACCACCAAAAAGATGTCCATGGGCACTGCTGTAAGTAGAGATTATTATATCATCTGATTCATACACACAGTCTCATCCAACTGCATATCTCATTCGTAACCAATTTACTAAAAGGGTGCGCTATAACCAGAGAACAAAAAAAAATGTTTTTCCATTCCAAACCCAACACACAAACTATAGTATGGGGTACACCCTTGTTGCTGACTAGTATCTGTCAATATTAATGCTTGAGGTACACGACAGTACGTAGATAGTTCTGAAATAACTGTTGTTTGTTGAGTGTGTCCCGACGTTTCAATTGAGTTGCTTCAATCGTCTTCAGGAGAATAATATATTTGTGACAATGTACTATGTCTTGTGTGTCTCATACCCTAGTATAGGAATGATATAAACCAGCCAGCCAGGAGAAAGGTAATTAAACAAACAGTAACACAAGTATAAAAGAAAATGGAACAGGTAAGGTCTGGTTTCCATGAAAATCGCTGTACGCTATCGCCGACTCCTTTGGTGACGCTGATTAGTCAGTTGAATCAGGGAGCGTCGTGGACAGCTACGCAGCGCAAAAATGGTAATGGTAGGATATATGTAGTGCGCCTTCCACAATAAAATCGTGTCAAGGCGCTGACAGCATACAGACCCAAAGTCGAATTGAAAAGATAAAAATAAAGATAAAGTTTAAAAAATCAATAAAAAAGAAATAATATGCAAACAAGCAGTTTTAGTAATGATGTCAGATGAAGGCCAAAATTGGCCAAAAAACAAACTGCGAACACGAAAGGGAAAGGAAATGCACACTCCCGATGTACGTGTACTGTACCCCGGCGACAGTTTGCATTGAAAACACTGTAGCGACTGTGTAGTGATTTTTATGGAAACCTGGCTTAAGTCGTCAGTTTTGAAATCTGGGACAAAGGAAGACTCACAAAAATACACAGCCAGTACACACCTTGTGTACCCCCATAGTTCTCCTTCACATATAATCCCCTCCCTCATAAAATCTATAACACCCACATGCATCTGACAGTACAGTATAGTAAAGTACAACTCGCACTGGTATGTACAGTATACTGTACAATGAATATAAAATTACAAACAACTCACTAATCTATAATTTATAATCTGTTTTACCCTAAAAATAACAAATTTATAATATGCCCGCCAATTTGCTATTATATGAGTGTGTACCCTGACACACCCGCACACATACAGCTCCTCCTTGAAACATAACTTAGGTGTAAATTAAAAAGAATCTCATAATAAATTAATTCAACCTTTAAAATTGTGAAGTATAATTATCAATTTATTTGACATTAATAATATATTTTTTAAAATTTACATAACTCAAGGTGGTAGCCAGTAACCTTTTGGAAATGGCATATTAATATTTTGTATTTTTATTCAGCCTTATAATACAGAATTAAAATACTGTAGTATAGTTATAGCTCTGATTTTTATGTGATACTATTATGCCTTAAAAAGACTATAAATAATCATTATTAACATAATTTAAACCTAAGAATTGGTTGAAGCTGCAATATGGTTATACCTCTGTTAGTTGAGTAATGAGTATGATAAAAAAAAAAAAGATAAAAAACAATTTAAAAAAATTAATTTCTTTTCTGATTATAAATTACAAATTTCTATGAAAAATCAATCACATTCATACAACCAAAGTAAAACAGGAAAATTAATATCATTAAAGCAAGGTACATTGAGAGGATAATTGAATATTCTTTTGGATTCTTATAAAATGAAATATTGATTTAAGAAAAATACATAATTATAAAATGTAATATGAAAATCAAAAGTACATATTGAAATTGGACATGATACCGTTGAGAAAGCCTGGTATTTAAACCAAGTCTGTATATACTTTTTTTGCAAATTACAGTAAAACAATTGGTATTTTAAGGTTGTTAACTAAATGATGTTACCAATCGAAAAATATAGAATGTTAATATTATTATGTAAAATTATTACATTTAATGCTTGCGGTACACCACAGTTCTGAAAAGAACTGTCTACGTGTTGTACAGCAAGCATTACAGTAATATACAGTATTATTACTTCGTTATACAACCAGTGATCAATTTGAATCAAACTATTACTATCACTATGAGCTACATTCGTGTTTGCATCCTGCGGTGTACTCAATATGTCATCGTTAGTAAACATTGATTGTACTTATTGTAAACAAGCAGCACGTGTGTTAGGCTTGTGTGCTAGCCATGCATGTTACTGGCAACGTTTATTGAGTCATTGGAGTTCAGACGGCTTTGTCTGCACGCACATGTGCGATAGGCAATTGTTGTAGAACATGACTTTTGGACAATAGACCAGGTGTTGCCATTGTCTGATGAAGCCCTCTTTAAAACGATTTTTGATGATAATGAACATAATGATGAAATTATTAATCCTTTGTTTTGGTATTTTAAATTCATTTAGAATGATTTGCTAGTATAATTAGTTTTAGAATGGGAAAATTAATCCTTTGTTTTGATACATTTGAATATCATATTTGCTGTATTTTTAGATTGATTTATTGTGATAATTATTACAATGATGAAATTATTAATCATTTGTTTGCATAATTAACAAAATATATAGTAAGCTCATTGTTTGCAAGGGCCCTATTTGGTAAATAATGATTATAAGACCAAAAAAATGTCTTGGAAAAGGCCATTTGTGATAATTAAAATTTGTTAACCATGGATTTTATGACTGATAGTCAGTTTATTTTTATTAAGGTTCTATTATTACTAGTTTGTTGCACTAAACCTTAAATAATTTGTTTGAATTGAAGCCAGAAAGTAAAATGACTGATGTACTGGCCCTCATAAAATTCCAAATCTGTTTGAGGGCAATACATGTAGTAAACAAAAATCATTCCAGAATTATTTTAATGTTGTACAGTATGTCAACTTCATTTATTTTTTTATTTAAATATATAATTTGAATATATCTTTTTAAAATAAATAGTATTTCATAAATTATTAATTCCTATAGTATGCTTTCTTCAACACACCATCTACAGATAAAATAATGTGTGACAGCAGATTACAGCTATTTGATCAGTAATATTACATTGGCAAATCAAAATCGGATTAAAAAAATTAAGATGTTAAAATTTAAGATAAACCTGTTGTTCTGACTTTTTCTACAAGGTTTACTATTACAGTGAGTGCTATAAAAAAGATTGCAATTGACTGTGACTTAAAGCATACTGTTCGTGTGTTTGTTACATCACAGCTTTCGTTATCATTTTTGTGCAAACACTTTCCCAATTTCCAATCTATTCTCTTCCAATTATGTTTCAGCGAATTGATAATCAGTAATTTCAGTGTGTAATTTTCTTGACACGTCTATCATTTCGATAACTGGCAAAATTAAAGAAAGTTGTAGTTCCATAGTGTAATTGATTTGACATTCTCAAAACAAGTATCCGAAAGAATTAACTAATTTTTCAGAAGTCTTGCATTCCGATGGTTGTTATATTGTATTTATCTAAAGCCTAATTGATAAATTCAAAGTGTCTGCCTGATGAACTGATCTCATTATTAATATGAGCCCATATTAAATGATTGTAATCCTGATGAAAATAAAAACATCCTGAGCTACTGAATACACAGTTGTTAGTATACATGATGACAGTGTGCTGGTATACAAAATATCTAATAATTAATTCACAGACAGATCAAAATTAAAATATTTCTTTTTGTCTGCTCATGGTAAAATATAGTCTAGAAATCCTAAGAAGAGGAGAGTTTAAAATTGATTACTAATTACATATGAAGGAACAAATAAATTTGTAATATCCATGACAGACAGGTCAAATATTTGTTTTTTCGTATTGCACAGTTTGTTTAAACTACCGTAAAACCTTGAATTGGAGCCCTGTGCTTCTTTTTTTTTTCCCCCGAATTTTAAATGGGCTTCCATTTCGAGGTTACTTTTGCAAAGTAAAGGGGGGAGGGGGGGACTTCTTTTCAAAATGAATGCTGTAAATTTTAGGAATGACTAAAACAATAAATAGGGCCACTGTAACATCAATCTGTGTCAAAGAGTGTATTAACCGACATTTAATCACCTAAACTACTGTATAAACCAAGCATGTTTTTAATTGATTTTGTTTCCTTGAAATTCATGTACAGTGTATGTACTCTACTATCTCAGGAAAAAAGCCAATGCTAACACATGGGTTGGGTTTCTTTTGGAGGTGGACTTCCTTTCAAGGCCACTTTTAACTAAAGAGGGCGGGCTTCAATTCGAGCTGGGCTTCTTCTCAAGATTAAGCCCATTGGCCTTAAATTTGAGGATTTACGGTATGAGAGTTATTCTATTGATTTACTGCAGTCCTAGGGTAATGCTATACCTAACAATATTATTAATGCTTATTTATTGATTTATAAGGAAAACATTTTTTTTTTCAGTTTTTCACTTAGAGAGGCTAATAATATTAACTTAATCCAAAGTAAATTTTATTTATTTTAAATATTATGTTTACAGTATTAGCCCATTAATTTCTATTATAGAGTGGAAGTTAATTACAGTGACTTACTATAGTTTAATATTTTTTTTTTTATAAAATAAAACTATAGCTTCCACTCCAGATGAGAATTTTCTACAAAACGACGTACCAGATGAGATCCTAATTAAGATATTTTCATATCTCCTGGAAAGAGACTTGTGTATGGCAGCGTGTGTCTGTAAACGGTTCAATGAATTAGTCAATGATATCACTATATGGTAAGTCAACAAATTTTGCTTAAAATTGCCAATTATCTTTTTAAATTGGGAGCTATTTTCTTGTGATCTCCTGGCAACCATCAGTATTTCAATAATACTAAGTACAGTGGATGGTCTTGTCTCGGTGTTGAATCAATTTTAATTTGTTATGTTTGTATGGTATTTATGAATAACCTTAAAAATAAATGTCATGTATAATTCATAATTAATTTATTTAATACTATAGTAAGTTTGTTATTTCAGGTGAGGAATGTCCTTCATATACTGTTGATAACATTCTTTCTATATAATGGTTTCCTTCTTAACAGTTCTGTTCACAATATCAAATTTTTGCTATGAAAATTGACATTATTTATTATATTGTATAATAAGATAAAAAATATGTAAATGGTACGTTATAATTTATGGTCATTAAGTACTAATAAAGTATTATTGACAAAAGGCCAAATTATAAATAAGAGCAAAATTTAAAATTGATGTTTTATTAGAGTGTAACATTACCTACCACACAATAGATTAGTGATATAAAATATAGTTGTCATATTGAAGTTGAAATCTCATGTACACATTTTTTCCTATAGCATTAATTTTTTAGATAGTTTCTACAAATGATGAATCCATCTCAACCTGTTTTTTTTTAGGGAATACTTATTAAGAGTATTATAATTTTGAAAATTACATTGCTTTTCTGTCAAATTATGTAGCCAATACTGCACAGTCAGGTGGTCATTCACCTGAACATAAAATGATTATGGCTCACAATAGTGTTAAAGCTGTTGTTTTTCAAATTTATATTTAGATGAATTATATTCATGTCTTCTAAAAAGGTAGATCATTGTTATTTACTTAGTAATTTGCTAAAAAAAAAAAAAAAAATTATGAAGAATTTGACCTCAAAATTCTCAGGTTTAATTTTGCATAAAATTTCACTAGCATTAGGAACTTGGGCTAATTTACACTATGTCAACAGTTGAATAATTTCCTATAAATAAAACCAGTGCTTACTTTTTTATATGGCCTATGCTAAGTTTTTTCAATATTAAATGTGAAAACCAATGAAATTTTATCAACAATGTTATATAATTGTTAGAATGAAAAATGCCATAATGAAGTATATAATCCTTCATTTATTGGAAATCCCATTAGAAATGTAAGGAAATGTTGCTTCTCTCTGATGATAATAATTTAAATTAGACATTAGACATCTGAATTTTGAGTGAAGCCCTTGACCCCTTGCCCCACTTTGGCCCATCTATCCAACCCCATTGACCCCACACTTGGCACCACATAGGACTCCCAAGGCAGCCTAGACCTCAACATTGAAACCCGAAAGCTACATGCCACCGGGTTACTGTAGGAACCGGATCCGGATGTTACGAAAGCCGTACGAAAATTACCAATTGATAAAACTGTGTTTTTATTCTGCTTGTTTTATATTTTCTTTATCGAAAATTAAACCTGTATTATTACATTTTTCTGTTCTATAGGAAGAGGATGTACCAGAATGTATATGAATTATCATTACCACTTTTAAGGCCTGCTCCAGCGAAGTTCAAGTTTGTACAGCCCGACAAAACGGATCATTTTAACATATGGAAAGAAAGCTTTAGAGTATTAGTAAGTATATATATTTTTTATTTCCACCAGATATTGTGAAACAGGTCTAAGATTCTCTCCACAAGTGTGAAAGATCAATAATTTACATAGAGTTTACTTGTGGATGAATGTTTATAAATGTCAACTTTGTAATATGCTCTCATATTTTCAACTTGTTTATAAATTTATCAAACTATAAACAGACAATATGTTTATCCTTTGTATTTTATTGAATTTTAATATCAGTTTTTGATGGTTGCAGTATTTGACTGACTGTAACATATATAAAGAACAGCAAGGTTTATAATGCTGCTGACACTATAGCTATTTAAATATTTCTCTATGCATTGACCTTTGGCATACGCATGTGCTATTTCAACTACAAGTATAATTACATCACAGTATATACATCTGAAATATTTATGTAAAAGTACCTGTATTTAAAGCAGAAAGTCTAATTGGAGTTATAACCAATATGTTATTTAGCTCACTGTCATAAAAATTCAACTCAACACATGTCAATACTGTGCAGATAAAGATAAATGTAGAGAAAAATTCCTGCCAAGTCCATGGAATACAGGTAGGTCTTTTTAGATGCACAAATTTTAATCACAAAAAAAGCACTGTTTACAATCTATTAACATTTTGTTACATGTTTGTTACACAGTACAATGCAGTTCATGTTAGGCCAGGCTATTGTCAGAGGGTGTACAATATGCCCGAGATGTTTAACGGTCGAGATATCCAGTACTGCGACACAATAGAAGAAGCTTTGTCCACAGTCGAGGGCCAAGATTATCCCCTTATTCTCGTCCATGAAGGGGTCTACAGTGGTGAATGGCTCTATATAGACAGTCCTGTCTGTATCATTGGAGCAGGTAGGTTTCGTTGCATTGGTAATAACACTCTGACAAACTGTGTTTTTATATATTTATTTGTTTATAAATTAAATTAATTACCCTCCTCAAAAATGCATTTGGAGTAAAAGGAGGATCAAATTTTGGCTGGACCCTTAAAGCCATGTAGGTAGCCAAAGCGCAGTGCCAGTTACTAACATATAACGGATACAGTGCCCTTTTATTCTGCTGGACTCCCATTATTATTGACTAAATAATAGATGTTATTAAAAAATATATTTATTTTTAAATATATTTTTTGATATATAACGATAAGCTAAATTATAACGATAATCTAAAATTTAAAAATATTAGCTAAATTAAAGAATATGAATAAATAATGTGAATGAAGTGAATGAATAGAAATTTATTTATTCAACTTTTTTTAAGGAGGCTGACTCAAAGAGGCCCTCATAACAAATACAAAACATATACTGTACAGTAACACAAGTAAAATACAGAAAACACAATGATAAAATAGATAGAAACATGAATAAATGTTTTTTCATTCATTTAATTTAATGCATACATTTAATTTAGATCGTTCATTTATATTTGTGTCGATATATTTTTGTATAGTAAAGCACTACTCTATCAATCTTGAAATTAAAGAACAGAATACAGTTTAAGTATAAAATGATAATAAAAATATAGTACATCAGATCTCATTTGTACCATGAGAATTAACAGCACAAATTAAAATAAATTTAATTTCATTAAAAGATATTTAAATTGAAGATTGTGTATCTAATACTATAAACAAAAAAAATTGGAGTAGAAATCAGTAGAAAGTTTTCCTTTATCAGATTTAAAGTGCAGTAGTTGTTGAACGTTTTCCCTTAGATTTTTATCTTTCCTGAATAGCCATGATTTAGTTTCTGTGGAGATGAATCATGCTGTGATGAAGATACAGGTATAATATACACACTACACACACAGGTCAAACCAACTTAACATACAAACAAGTTGCCAAATAGATTTCGGATATAGCTCAGCCAAAATGTAATAAATATATTACCCGTATGTCAACATTGAATACTGCTATAGATCATCATAATAAGAATAATTTATTTAAAAAAATCATTCACTTTCTACTACAAAAATTTTTAAAATTTTAAGTTAATTTTCCAGCATTAAGACTTAACATTCGTGAATCAAGTATTTGTGGATGGGAGCTAAATAATTGTTATAGCTTCTGAAGGAATGAATGTGTTAATTTCTAATCACTAGGGTGCACAACCACAATCTGGAGTTCAATCCTCATAAACTCCTTAATTTTATGCACAAATTAAAATCTGTCTCAATATATTTCTTTGCATGTGATTGGGAGTGAATGAATGATAGTTTCCATCTATGTTGTTAAAGCCCATACTTCGTGCGATAACTTGTTTAGCGAACCCTCCGCTCACCAATAATGATGATTTTGAATAAAAATAAAATTTTATTGTAACCCACCACCACGAAAATAATGGAAATTTCAGAAAAAAGGAAGTTTTTTTTACTCTTATTATGCCCGCTGCTGTTTTGAAATCTCCACAAATAAGATATGTAAATTTCTTTTTAATTATATAAATTTAAGACATTTGACTATCCCATGACTACACTGTTTACATTAACCAATAAACTTTCATTGTCATTTTTTCCTCTGTTTAGATGTTTTTGGCAAAACCATTTGCTAAATAAGAAAACAACATTTTATTTTTATTTTTCTGCCCTCCTCTCTGACGATCTATGAAAAAAGTAAGTTCGCGAAACAAGGTATAAGATATGTCTTACCTTAGAAATAAAATACTGTACTAAGCCATTACAGCATTTCTAATGTTTTTGTGTGTATATACCAATGGTGATAAAACCTTATAGTCTTTTTAAAATATAGAAAAAAAAAAAAAAAAAATTATATTCTGGTTCTTTGCATCACTAAACCATCAGTTTTGAATACAGTATCCCACTGACTTGAAGATCTGTGACATTTGTGATAAAAGAGAAACATTCGGTAGACTGTCATATTTATATTCCCCCAGTCGACTGTATTAAGAAACATATAAAATGATCATCGAAAGATCCATCTATTTAATAGGAGTTCCCATTTGTGTACCCTAACAGTGGAATGCATTTCTCATCAGATGCATTAGATATATTGATATCATCATACAAACTAGTTTATCATAATGTCCAATTCTGCAGAAGAACTTAATTCCCATGCATTATGATAATTCTAGAAATGAAGATCAATCATTAAAAAAAAAAAAAGTATGAAATCAAAACTATATTTTATAACAGAAAATTTGAATTATGAACAGCAACGAACAATTAATGGTTCTCATTTGCATGAGAAATCACTATAAAAAAAAAAAAAAGAAATCAATTTTTTTCATATTGAGAAATTCATTTATTATTTATAATATTGGTAACTAGTACTACAGTAGTAGTGATTAATGTTGCTGTTACATGGAATAAATCACTCTCAAATGCTGTCTTGTATAGCTTTCAAAATTCATGGACATATAATCGTGAGAATCGTGAGAATGTACCATCATATTCATGAGATAATAGGTAGTTTTCGCCACACGATGTTAACCTTAACGTTAACGGATGACGTCATAATTTATTCATCTTGCGTTGCGGAGTAAATAAATTTCAGGATTTTGCGTGCTCAATGTACGTTAGTGACAGGTTTGCGCATTCGTATTTTACAAAAAAAGGGCGGAGCTATCGCGTTGCATGTTGTGATCAAACGTTAAAGTTAAGTTAAGAGAGGGAGGCATGGACACAGAAAGAGGGGGGTAAAATTGATACAGAAATTGAAGAGGTGACACAGATATTAAAGGAAATGGGATGGCTTGGCATACGAGGAAGAATAGAATAGACATAAAGGAGAAGGATTGAGACTGATATTACAGGAAAGGAATGAATTATTGAGATGTTTGAAGTTTATTGATGAAATTCTTTCATGTGCAATTTGTTACATTAGTAATTAAGTTGCAGAAATTACTGAAATCATCAGAATATTTTATTCAAATTAAGCTGCTTATTTATTTTCTAGGTCAACATAACTTGCATTAGGCCGTTTTATAAAGTCAGCAAAGTATTTGCTACAGTTTTTTAAAGCGTGGACTTGATTTTTCTACAGTACAAGGAGTTATTTTTAGTACCCTTGTTGCTCTGTGGAGTTTTTTGAGAGACATAGGGAGTTATTTCAGTACCTTTTTTGTATGGGATGAGAGATTTAGGGAGTTATTTTTGGTGCAGTTGTAATCTGAGTTTTATGAGGGACTTAGGGAGTTTGGTACCTGTGTTGCTGTATGAGTCTTTTTATGAGAGACTTGGGGCGTTATTTTTGTACTATCGATGAATCTCTATTAGAGGATGAAGAATTGTTTTTGGTCATTATAAGTAAAATTCTCTAAAAAAAGATGATCATTTCTAATCACTTGTTGAATACATTCATAAAGGTTTCTGATGGTAATGATTAGTATTTTTTTTTTAAGTTCGATCCTTATAAATTTTTATCTCTCATTTATTCTTTTCCATCAAGCAATGGGAAATATTCCAGATCATGTTATTGTGGAGAATTGTAAAGATTCCACGTTCATATTCATCGACGGTTGTGAAGATTCATATCTCGGCCACCTTAGTATTAAGGTAAGTCTTATAAAAATGTTCATACATTTAACGTTTGTGAGATAATACTCAAAGAGTGAAGGATGTAGTACTTAATGGAAAATAAAGGTTGAATTTGTGGATGATATTCACTGTTTTTGCTGGTACAATAAAGATTATTATTCTTAGATTACCTACAAATTATACTCAAATTTGGGGGGAAAAATCATTCTTTTTCGATTCCATCATAATTTTCGGCGACAGTAAGACTACACAATTCAATGTTTTATCAGATCTCATCTTGCATTAGTAGGAATAGGTATAATTAATATTTTAGTGTTCCTAAAGTCAGTTAGACTGAAGTAAATTTTTTTAACAATAAGAAAATGTTCTAGGTTAATTTGATACTTGTGACAGCAATATTTTTATTATTTTTTATTTCAATCTGCAAGAATATTAGTATTTCAAAATTGATAATTTTCTATATAATTAAGAATTTTTATGGTGTCATGTATGTCTTTTGAGATCAGAGAGTATTATATGTTTTACTGAATTTAAATATAATTTGTATATTTATTTTAAGGCATTTGAAATATTTATATACTTGCTTATTGATTGTAGCTAGCTTGGTGCTTTTAGTAATAATAATAATAATAATAATAATAATAATAATAATAATAATAATAATAATAATAATTTATACATGCGTAAATTTCATGTTAGTATGTCCATGTGCGTAGTACAGTACATTATTACACCTGGTCATTTTGTCAACATGCTTTATGAACACTTAGTTCTACAGTATAGCTGCAGCCATAATCAGCACAGTAGCATGGTACCCAACCAGCAGGGCAGATCCAGAATTTTTCAAATGTGGTGGGGAGGGGGGTGCACACAATATTTTCAGAATAGATAAGTGAGTAGTGCTTATTTTAATAAATAACATTGATATGCATTGAAATTGTTAAAATGGTTGGCCCTGTGCCCCACACTGGATTCGCGCCTGACCTGGCATGCATTTAACCCCTACGTGGAAAGAAGCAATGCAGATACAGTGCCTGGAAGTGTTAGGTGTGTAATAATAGGGAAAAAGAATCTTGCCAAAATACAGCTACACAGTTAGTAAGAAGCTTGGCTAATGAACTAGTCATTTCTTCAGCATGAGTGTGATAGGCTAGAGGTATTAAACACATTGTACAGCAGGGGTGTTTTAGGGTAAAATAACAGAAGAAAGTAGGGGGTTAGTAATTAGGCATTCCTTCAGCAGTGTAATATTATTTAAGCTAAATATATGACAAAAGAATTTTTATGGTGTCATGTATATCTTTTGAGATCAGAGAGTATTATATGTTTTACTGAATTTAAATATAATTTGTATATTTATTTTAAGGCATATTTGAAATATTTATATACTTGCTTATTGATTGTTGCTAGCTTGGTGCTTTTAATAATAATAATAATAATAATAATAATAATAATAATAATAATAATAATAATAATAATAATAATTTATACATGCGTAAATTTCATGTTAGTATGTCCATGTGCGTAGTACAGTACATTATTACACCTGGTCATTTTGTCAACATGCTTTATGAACACTTAGTTCTACAGTATAGCTGCAGCCATAATCAGCACAGTAGCATGGTACCCAACCAGCAGGGCAGATCCAGAATTTTTCAAATGTGGTGGGGAGGGGGATGCACACAATATTTTCAGAATAGATAAGTGAGTAGTGCTTATTTTAATAAATAACATTGATATGCATTGAAATTGTTAAAATGGTTGGCCCTGTGCCCCACACTGGATTCGTGCCTGACCTGGCATGCATTTAACCCCTATGTGGAAAGAAGCAATGCAGATACAGTGCCTGGAAGTGTTAGGTGTGTAATAATAGGGAAAAAGAATCTTGCCAAAATACAGCTACACAGTTAGTAAAAAGCTTGGCTAATGAACTAGTCATTTCTTCAGCATGAGTGTGATAGGCTAGAGGTATTAAACACATTGTACAGCAGGGGTGTTTAAGGGTAAAATAACAGAAGAAAGTAGGGGGTTAGTAATTAGGCATTCCTTCAGCAGTGGAATATTATTTAAGCTAAATATATGACAAATATAATAGTGGTATTGTATGACAGCAAGGGTAGTAAAAGCAACAGGGACAGTATGAACCAAGCTGAAAAGACAGAAACATAGAAAATGAATTGAAGTGAAAAGAAAAAAACACTAGCAAAAAACATGTAAAGCAAATAACTGGAAAAATTCAAATAGAGCAGGAAAGAGAACTGGAATAGGTAGGAAAAGCTGGACAATACCGTAGGACGAGGACGAGTATGAATATATCAAGAAAGAGAAAAAAAAAAAAAACGGAAAACAAATAACCAGAATGGGAGAAGTAATGGAAAGAGTAAAGTTTGAATATAGCAAAACTTAGAAGACTAGCAAATTTGATGTTGCAGTGAAATTTCTTGATTATAATGTTAATCGTAATATTATTCATAGACTTTTTTAACAAACTATATCCTTGACCTTTATGTTAGTGTGAAGAAAACAACTAAATTTATCTTCTTGATTGTCCCTGGCTTATTTCAAAAGTCACTAAAATTGTATAACAAAATGCAAATTTGGATTAATATTCATAGGTCACAAATTCATGTTATTTTATTCATCATCGAACAGAGTAAATTTTACCTTGGTACCATCATAATGGAAAGCTCTGTCCAGAGCACCAATTTCTATTTTACACAAAAGTGTTGTATGTCCATATATGATCCTGATGTGATGTCATCATGACCATATTTAGGTATGTCACATGTTGTTGTCAAAGAGGCTGTATCAGCGCTTTAAATTGTCTGCTATCCTATTTACTCTCAGTTATTCTGCAGCATATTATAAACGTAGCAACTAAAGATTAACAACGGTTTAATAAATGTTTAATAAATAGTACTATGTATATTTAGAACTAAATCTTACTTTTAAAGGTACTGTACGCAAGAAGTTAATTGTTTAATCATGAGAAAAATTGTGCCCTTTTCAAGGATGAAATCCAAGCTTATGCGATTAATTTGTTGCTCTATGAAATAATCCTTCTTAGCACAGCTTGCAATCAGGCTGTAATCTATTACCTTTTGCATTTTACATAATATCTGTACATATTTCTACGTGGACAATTCAGAGAACAGGTTTTCACAGTTTTCAGGAGATTTTGTTTTCAAAGTTGCCATTTTGTATTCATCAGATTTTCGAGATAATAATGGCATCTCTCATCTGCGGTTCTATCTACACCACATCATCCTGTTAGTTATTGTTAAAGGTCTAACATCACAGTACTCTTCAGTAAGAGAAACTAATTAATACGTCTGTCATATAAAATATATTTGGCTTTGTGGTAGCCTGAAAATTTTTCTAGAAAGAATAAATTGTCATCTTGTTAGAATTTCTTGTCATCCCTCCAAACTTTTCATTTTATGATTTATATAAATATTTCCACAGAAGTGTCCGTGTAAATGCAACTCCATCCAAACATTTTAAATTTAATTTTCTGTGTTTATGTGTGTGTTAAAATGTTGTAGACAATCGGTTCATATTAAGTTTTTACGGTTCTCATTATTCTTAATATTATGTTGGTTTGGAGAAAATCTTAACATGTATTGGATAGTACTCATGATTGTTAATTTAAAACATACTGTAGCAAAAGCCAAATTATCTCCCCTACCTAAACATGCATCTTTCCGACTTCAAAATTTATAACGGATTTAAAATATGTTTCGTATAGTTACTAAATGAAACCAATAGAAGTTTGATTTCCTAAAGACGACCATGCACAAAAACATGCTGCTAAAATGCCTTGTGAGACATTTTACCACGCAACAACTTGCAATATGTTTTCGTTGTTATCATTATCATTTTTGTTGTTTTGCATTCGTTGACGGTAATATCGTTAGTAGCCCCAGAAGTCATAGCCAATAGGTTTTAAAAAAGAAGATTAAAAATAGGAAGAAAACATGTTTTAATACAAAAATGTGGTAATTCTTTCATTTAATTTTTTTCTTTTTTTAAAAATTTCTTTCATGTGAGTTCTCTCAGGTTGTAATTTTATAATTGTTGCTCTAAATTACAAAAGCATGTTTAATACTATTGTACCCTATGACATGCCTTGCTCAAGCATTAGGTAGGTAAATATAGAAACAATGCTTTTTTGCGATAGGTATGATTCTTGGCTCATGCAAAATTATGAACGTTTAGGGATAATATTGTTGTACAATAATGACAAATCACAATTGATATATAAAGCCCTGTCCAGGCTATCAAATTTTATTCGACAGAAATACTATTGAATGACCATAGTCATGATGCGATATCATCATGGCCATATTAAGGCATGTTGTATGTTTTTTCTCAAATATAATTTGATAGTCGGGAAAGGATTTAAAAGTACAGTTGCTAACGTGTACATGGTAATACTGCAAGTTGAAAAAAAAAAAATAGAACCACAATAATTAACATTGTTTCTGTTCATTAGGTTCACAATTGATTGAAATCATCTGCTTTATAGTGATTTTAAGAGGAATTAACTGCATGGAATTATCATTCTAAATGAATTTGGCTTTGTTTTTAAATGAATAGCCAGTAGTGCACTGCGCTATATGCTTTGTATTGTTATCAATAAACAGTGCATTTTGTCTGTGAATGAGATGTTTGCAGGCTGGCGGAGTGTTGCAAGGTCCTAAGGGAGTTCGGATTTCCATAATAAAAAGCCTGTGCAAATACACTTACTTGAATTACAGCTTTCCATGTGTCTATTTCCAGCCATCATTACAGTATTTACTTGGTGTTCTCTGCATAATTTTTGAGTCCATTAAATATAATGGACTATGAAAATATTTGTAAACTAAAATACATAAGCACAGAAACTATTTTGATTTTATAAACTATGTTTATAGGCAAATTCAGTAGGCCTATACTGTTACACAACCACGATCAACAACTGTTACACTTAACAGAGCCTATTAGTAAACTAAAATACATAGCACAACAATTATTTT